GAGAGGCAGTCAGAGCAATGCATTGGGTTTGGGAGAAGTTGTAGGAAATGAGAGTGGAGCGGTAGGCAGAGGTCAGACTGAGAGATCCTCTGGGTTTATCCTGGGGCAGCAGTGCCCAGTGGCTGTCACTGTCAGTGTGGACAGAAGTTGGAGATGCCAGGCGTGGCATCCATAGAAGGTATTTATTTTGGTAGAATTGATATATTTTTACTTTGCCTCGAAGATGGTAAGAAGTAAGTGAGGCCAAACAGAACATGGAGAATCCAGAGAATCTTAAAGTCCAGGCCAGTGCAATGATTTTTTTCAACCTGAAAGAAAATCTCGGCCTTCCACTAACTGGGTCATAAAGGCTCTGTTTAGCCTGTTTGCCTTTTGTTTCAGATACATCTGAGCCAACACAGAGCTTTGGTTTAAGACGGTAGTGAGTTCTATCCTACTTTGTCTGGAAAATGTTAGTTCAGGCAAAAAGTTTCCAGGTACAGTAACATAAACAGGGAGTTTTACAGCTTAAAGTACCCTCTGTTCTACGGCCCAATAGTGACTAATAGGATTTGGAGTACTTTGGCTGTTTTATATTTGTGTCATCAAGTGTCATGTCTGGAGCAAGAATCTCACATCTTGAAGATATAGAAGGATTTTTACAAAGAAAATGAGAAAATAATTGTCTTCATCAGCGTTTCCCTGTTGGCCACATCTCTTCTCACTGCCTAAAACGAATGTTGCAGCATGTAGTGCAAGAATTTCAATTTTTCTCCTTTCACTTTTCATCATTTATGAAGTTGTTGCTTGTCTATGATTAATACCTCTGGTTACATATTAAATCACTTGGAAAATTTGAGAAAAAATCAGATGCACGTTTCCTGCCTAAGACCAAGTCAGAATCTCTGGGGTTGTGGCCTGGGAATCTGTGGTCTTTTTTTTTAAATAAGCATATTTTTTTAAGATTTATTTTTTATTTATACAATAGCTGGGGTACAGGCCAGAGGCACGGGAGGGTGAGAGGATTCACCAGAGACAGAGTAGGGAGCAGAACAGGCAGACAGACTTGACGGAAAGCACTGCTGAGGGGAGCAGTGGGTGACAGGAGAGGTCTGCTGCGCCATGTGGGTATCTCCCTGGCTGGCCAGGAATCGAACCCAAGCTGCAGAGGCTACGGACAGCTTCACAGCGCTACACTCAACCCGCTGAGCCACTGGGGAGACTCTGGGAATCTGTAGTCTTAAAAAGCTCTCCTGTTGATTGTAATGCAGGATTATCTATTGCCTCATTAAGAACTTCCCCCAGGAGGGAAGGAGGGCTTCGAGGGGGTGGAAATCCCCCCAAACTTAGTAGATAAGAACAAGAAGGACATTATTTCCCATAATTCTGTGGCTGACTGAGCGCTCCTTCTGCTCTTCTAGCCTGGGTTCACTCAGGCTGCTGAAATCACGGCTGGAGAGGTAGGGGGCTGAGCTCAGCAAGGATAGACAGCCGGGCTACCCTCCCCAGGGAGCGTTTCTTCCTGGCTTTCTTTGTAGCTGAATCTGGGGGAGTCCTATAATTTGCTTTGATGACTAGAATGAGGCAGAAGTAAGTTTGCCTCACTTCTGAGACTTGGCCTTAAGAAACCTGTAGGCTTCCTCTTTAACTCTCTCTTTTTTCACTATTCAGTGTTTATTTGGTGTTTTAGTTGGCGTGGCTCTGGTTTAGTTGGTTCCATTGCTTTTATATGTAGATTTTTCTTTTTTACATTTTACAGCCACACTCTATTCTGATACATATAGTACACAAAATAAGATTGTTTAGAACAGGTATGCACAGCCTGGCCATGCTAGCTTTATGGGTTGGATTCCAGGATTCGACTGATAGGAGAAAAAATATTGGATCAGGGATGTTGAGTGACGGAACCAGAAGTTATATGACACAATAAACACATCTGGTCTGAAGGGCAACTGTAGCCTGTACAACATCAGCAGTGCAGCCTCAAGGTGATAGAACTATTTTACACTAACCAGTTCAGGACTACCATCCAGCACCAGGATAGAGCTATAGGGTTTTAGGAACCATTGGTATTTCTCCTTGGGGAGATTGATGTTTTTCTTAGGTCATCTTAATATTACTGTTTTAGTCACAGTTCAGATAAAAGAACAACACACAATCTCCAATTAAAATCCTGTTGTAACCTAGACAGTGAAGTGGGACAGCATTAGAACCTTTAAAACCTCAGCACGGGCCTCCCTGGTGGTGCAAGGGGATAAGTTTCAGCACTGTGAAGCTATTCGCAGCCATTGCATTGATCCCTGGCCAGGGAGTTAACCGATATGGAGCAGTACACCTCTCCTGTCTCGTCTGCTGCTCCCCTCAGCAGTGTATTTCAATCAGTCTGCCTGTTGTGTTCCCCACTCTGTCTCTGGTGAATCCTCTTACCCCCCCACATCTCTGGCCTGCACCCCAGTTCTTGTATACATAAAAAAATAAATTTTTTTAAATAAAAAAATAAATAGAACCACAGCTCATTTTGGATTCCCCAGCACGAATGTGTGCTCTTCCTCAGATGAGCCTCTTCCTCAGGTGTGAGTCACCTTCACCACATCTGAGATTCCATTCAGCCCCAAGCTGTAAGACACAATAAGGAAGACATATTTTATTCCACAGAGACCCTTCATCATGGTGGAAATTGGGTGGTACCACCTAAGATTCTCCATTATATTATCTGCCAAATCTGCCCCATGATAGGTCAATGGCTTTCAGTTTGATCATCTCATGAGCACTGTCGACCACTGCTTCCCACTGTTATCTGCATCAGTGCCTAACCCAGGCATTTTAGGGGGACACCAGCAACTCCACCCATGCAAGCACATTCAGTCTCCATGCTCCCTCAGAACCCACCATGACAGCGTAATAGGTGAGCTCCTGGTCTGTCCTCCTTTGGATAAAGGAAACAGGCTGAATCTGGATTGCAGGCACTTCCAATAACACAATTTTGGAGAAAGCTACTTTTCTTCCAAGCCACATAGCTCAAAATATCCACTGGATTGGAAACAAATCACTTGCAGGTTGGGCTGTATTTTATAGCATTACCAATGATGAATTTAAAAGGTATTCACGTTATACTGGACTAAATTAAGATGGCTTTCTCCCTCTCATTGACGTGTCCCAGCTGTGATGATAAGTTTGGATTTTGCAGACACAGTATAGTCTTTGCCACAGGTCATTCTGAATGTCCTAAGGAAAAGGTTGCAAACTTGGTTTATTCTTAAAGATCCATCATCTCTTCCTTCAGTGGTCTTCCATGACATCAATAAGAACAAATTTATCTGCCAAGTCCTCCATTAAGATACCAATGTTGGGGCCTCCCTGGTGGCACAAGGGGTTAAGCACAGCACTCTGAAGCAATCTGCAGCCTCTGCATCATGAGTTCAATCCCTCGCCAGCCAGGCAGCTAACCCACATGGTGCAGCCGACCTCTCCTATTTCTCCCGCTGCTCCCCTCAACAGTGTATTTCAGTCAGTGTCCCTGTTCTGTCCCCTACTCTGTCTCTTGTGAATCTTCTCATCCCCCCACCTCCCGCACCTCTGGCCTACACCCCAGTTCTTATGTGCATAAATAAGTCTTTAAAAAAAGATACCAGTGTCACAGGTCATGCCAATGGCACCGACTCCAACAACAGTAGTCTTATTCTGCAGGGAATATTCCTCCTTATGAAGATTCTGAATCAGCTGATCCTTGAGAGTTGCCATCTTGGAATTGGAACTTAAAGTACTGGAGCGCACTTCAGGAAGGCACTAGTGGCTGCATGGGCTCCAGGGTTGGCAGCGGCTGCTTCTGTACCCCATTTTGCTCTCTTCACTACTTCCCAGGGGCCTTTATGTCATGAAGAAGTTAACCATTCTTACTTTCTTCACAGCAGTTACTTTACCTAGTTGTAGTGTTTCTGGCAGGATTATGGACAGAAGTGGACATGACACTAAGTGCAAGGTTTAGCTCTGCCAGAGTAGAGATGTCTCCCTCCCTCCCCTCACCCCCCCTTCCCTGCGGATACATACATTTAGGCACATTGAATTGGAGAGTCTTTCTTATTTCTGTTTTAAATTGTTTCATCAACCAAGGAAACGTGATGTATTCATTCACTCACAAGTCATTATAGAATGCTTATCAGGTGCCAGATTGTGCTGAGGGTACAATGACGTTATGCTGAATAATCAGGAGACCACAGATCCTGATGTCAAGATTCTTATATACTTTTGAATGTCTCCATTGACAGCAGAGGACATTAAACAATTAATTGGACAGTAATTACTAAGTAATCCCTCGTGGGAGCCGTGACCCATATTGGGACACTGAGGAGATCAGGAGAGACATTCTTGGAAAGGAACATTTGATCTGAGCCTTAAAGGATGAGTTCGTATTAACTACCCCTGCCCCTTTTCATTCTCCCTTCTTCTCCAGCCTTTCCTTACCTCTCTCTGCCCTCACCAGCGATCTGTGTTATAACCATGTTTCACTTACAAGCTACTAACAAACAGCTTGTAAAGAGAAATAAGTTAATACTGCTTGCGGCCTCCTTTAAGATATGAAATTTCTTTATTTATTTATTTATTTATTTTTAATAGAGGCATGCTTTATTTATTTGTTTTGCTGGTTTGTTTGTTTGTTTTGTTTATACATGCACTGGGTACAGTCAGAAGCGCGGGAGGGGGAGAGAATTCACCAGAGCCAGAGCGGGGAGCAGAGCAGGCAGAAGGACCGAAGTACACTGCTGAGGGGAGCAGCGGGCGGCAGGAGAGGTCTGCGCGCCATGTGGGACCCTCCTCCGGTGGCCGGGGAGCAGCCGGGGATCGAACCGGCACCACAGAGGCCGCGGGCAGCTTCGCAACCCAGCGCTCAACCGCTGCGCCACCGGGGAGGCCCAAGATATGAAATTTCTTAAAGGACAAACAACTTTCTTTTTAGTGGATAGAAATTATAGAAAGCTTTCTTTCACGCCTTACATTTAGTACCTTACTTTTTGTGTTTGCAGCAACTCAAGCATCCCAACCTGGTCAACCTTATCGAAGTCTTCAGGAGGAAGCGGAAGCTTCACCTGGTATTTGAGTATTGTGACCACACGGTTCTTCATGAGCTGGACAGATACCAAAGAGGGTAAGTACACACACAAACACACACACACAAAAATCAAAACGAAACGCCATGATATGTGAGGGAGAGTTATCAATGAACTTTTTTCGCATTAGGCAAAAACAGCCACTGCTTGTTTGACTGACTGGCATCATCTGTTACTGGGGTTGGGGGCAGAGGAATTACCAAAGATTTTGGGAACGAAACCATCAGAATTATTAGGTTGAATTTGATTTCTTTGGTACATTATCTCTTTGTAGAAGCTATTTTAACCTCTAAGAAAGAGCAGGGGGGTATTAATTAACTCTAGTAATATAAGGGAAATATAAGGACTTGAAGATTGAAAGGAAGAATCCAAAGACAATGGCTAGCAGGAAGTCTAAGGCTAAAATGAATGTGGTGTTTGATCCAAAGCAATCTAGGCGTCCGGTCTGCTGTTTTGGTCAAACATTTTTTGGTTACTAGTGACAAACACAACTGAAGCAAACGTAGATGCAAAAGGAATGCAATGGAGGCCATACTTGGGAGGGAGGGAGGTGACGCAAGGCTCTACTGATTTTATCCTGCATTATCTAGCTGACTGTAGGGTAAATGAAGATTGGTCAGGCTTTCTCGCCGCGGGCCTCTGTGGCTATGACCTGTGGCCTTGATTGTACTAATGCAGGAGGCGCTTGGGAGTGTGGGCCCAGGACACGCATACCTGATGGTAGACACCTGGAGTATGGTGTGGGCATGCATGAGTGGGCACACCTGATCCTCAGGCTGAGGCTATAAGGGCAACATCATGCAGTACAGCTACGGCAGAGGATGATGGTGGAGAACGGTCACAAGAGGAAGAGCCCAGAGAGAAAGGGGACAGATTTGCCGGGGGCTAGGAGGCCTGCCCGCCTGCCCGCCCGCCTGCCCTGCTTCTGGTTGCCCCACTACACTTACACAATACCATTTTTTACATTAGTAGAAAGTTTGGTGAGTAGAAAGTTCAAACAAAGAATGTTTGAAATGAAAGGGAGGTGCTTCCTCAGGTTGAAGATAGCCCTTTGCCACAGTGAGCAGAATGCAGGCTGAATTTTGGTTCCCACCCGCTCCCCATGGGTGTCTTAAAGCAGGACACCATAGGCAGTGGCTGTTCTCTTCCCTCCTAAACTCTTTTCTATGTGTTGGTCTCATTCTTCCTAGAAGATGAGCCTCTCTTCTATGATGGATTTTGTAGGGTGTGTATGTGGCATGGGATAGAGTTAGGGAGGGGAAAAATGTGAAAGGAGAACGCATGACCACTTTTATCAACTACATAGCCATTCTAGAAGAAAGGCAATTCTAGAAGAAGGTAGCATCTGCAGCTTAAGTCCAGTGGAAGACTGGGTGGTTGAACTCGGGTTATTCAACTATCCCTGGGCCAATCACTGTGCCAAAGGGAGAGGGTAGAATAATTAGATGACCCTGGGAGCCATGATTCAAAGTGAGTTGATCAAAAAAACTTTGTGGAGGAGGTAGCCTCTGAGTTGAAAGATGAAGAGATTTAAGAGGTGGTGAACAGAGAAGGAGATACTCTCCTCTCCTTATTTTGCTCTGTTCCTGGGATCCCAACTTGCCGGGGGACAATATGCAGAGTGTGCTGTAGATCAGAACTGTGGGCATGTGCCCCCTCCCAGCTTACATTCACACTGCAGTGGCTGGGGGCTGAGGCACTCCCAAAGCTTTTTCAAGTCTTGGGCAGTGGCTTGCTCTGCCATGTGGTAGAGGTTATATATGATCCACCATGACCTCCAGGCAAATGGGATTAAAAAGGCTCGTGGTTTGTCAGTGACCATGGCACAAGCTTTTCATGTTCATTTACACAGCCCGAGAGAGCCAAGAGAACAGACACCTCCCCTCAGGAAGTCATTGATACTGGGAAATTATGTGTTCAAGGGAGAAAACATTTAGTATGTTGACATTTGTTCTTTTGACAGCTTGCAAATGACACTTCAATTAAACTTATTAGTATAAGTTCCTCAGTTAGGTGGTACTAGGGAGATGTTGCAGGGAGTTTGATTAATTATGTTAGATTGAGTTGCTTGGGAACACTGATTTGTGGGGCCTGGAAGGCAATTGGGAGTCAGTTATTTTATGGTTTACAATTTGAGAAGAAGAAAAAAGACACAACAAGGTGTGGATAGAGTTTTGAAAGAAGATTGTTTAAAAAAATCTACTGGCTAAAATATGTTATATGTGTTCTTAGAAAAAGAAAATGTTTTATCCTGAGGTGGGTTGGAGAAGAAGCCAATAGATACATGTGGTTAAGTACAAAAAACTTAATTTCCAAGTGGCAATGTACCATGGTCTGTCAAAGAGAAGACTGACATAAGGAATACTATAAATGAGCAAATTTAAAATATAAGATTTATTCTAAGATAGATCAAAGTTTTGATGAATGGTGTTGGCTTCTTGTAATATCACAAATATCAGAAAAGCAGTAGTGGACAGCACAGCTTCTGTATCAAAAATGCTAGAAAGAAGTCCATGTTCTTTCTTCATCATTTCTCTCACATGCATATGTATAATGAATTTTTTTAAGATTTATTTTTTATTTATACAATAGCTGGGGTATAGGCCAGAGGTACGGGAGGGTAAGAGGGTTCACCAGAGACAGAGTGGGGAGCCAACAGGCAGACAGACTGGACCAAAAGCACTGCTGAAGGGAGCAGCTGGTGTGACAGGAGAGGTCTGCTGCACCATGTGGGAATCTCCCTGGCTGGCCGGGAATTGAACCCGTGCTGCAGAGGCTGCGGGCAGCTTCAAAGCTCTGTGCTCAACCTTCAAAAGCTTCAAAGCTCTGTGCTCAACCTTCAAAGCTGCTTTGCCACTGGGGAGGCCCCTGTGTATTGAATTTTAGGAATCAGTTTGATTACTTCACTTTCATATAGCAGTTGTTTATGTTTCTGTCATTTTAATCTTGATATCAGGACATCAGTTTACAGTACAACCTCTCCCCCAAACTTAGAGAGTCAGATGATTGCTTTTTTGAGATTTATTTTATGAGACCAATACAGAAGGCATCAGGGCAGAGCTATTCAGAGCAACATTAAATAGATGAAGATGGCTGTCTGGCTTCTTAGGTTTGAATGATTGCATGTGATCTGCCTAATATAACAAGACACTTCTAATTTGGAGATATTGGCATTCTGGGTTTATAAATCAGGACAGTGAATTTGTTTACTATTTACTTGTACCTTTGAAATACATACTGTCTTGGTATGCTGACAAAATAAATGTGTCGGTAAATCAAAAGACCATGGTAAAAGCAACCAGTGTTTTTTTCACACAAGGAACCACATTCCCTGTGTTGCTATAAGAGGATGAGTTTTCCCTTTCAGTTCTATTCTTCACTTAGTATTCCTTCATATGCATTTTTCTATATTGCAACATATTGGTAATAGATCTATTACTAATGACTATGAGATACTACATTTAAGTACATTACCTAATCTAATCTAATCATTCTTCCATTGCTGAGTATTAAGTTTGCTTTCAGTATTTGATCTGCTAAATGATGCTGCTATAAGAATCTCCCCACAAAAGGCGTTTTCTTCTTTTGTACTTTTCCTTTAGAAGTTCTCAAAATGGGATTATTGGGTCATAGGTTTTGCCAAACTGAACCAATTTACCTTACCCCCAAAGATGTGGATTTGTATCTATTTTTCTCTTTATCTGTTATCAAGATATTTGATGAATGAATTCCACCCAACTTCTGAGGAAGAAACAATATCAATTGTAAATAAATTGTAACTATAAGTCAATTGTAGTATAAATTGTAAATATAGAGAAACATTTCTCATCATTTTATGAGGCTACCATTCCCTAATACGAAAACCAAAAGAGAACTTTTCAAGAAAAGAAAAATGACATTAACTCGGTGGGGGGTGTGGTGTGGGTATTCTTACAAAATTAGTAGCAAATCAAATCTAGCTACATGTTATATAAAAAGGATTTACTTCTCATACCATTGTTCCCTCTGCTTCATCTTTCTACTCCCAGTTACATTAAATTTTTATTAATTCAGTATTCACTGCTCCCATAATTATACCAAAGGAAATATTACTTGTAGCTGAACATCTTATCCATGCTAGTGTTTCCTTTTGTGCTTTTCCAACAAATTAATATTTTCCTGCTTTGTAAGTGTGTTGGATATTCTTTAGCTTATTGCTAACTTTTCTCACTTTTTAGAATATATTCTCACAGTATAGTCACATCAGTTTAGTTCCATTTTTTTTAAAGATTTATTTATTCATGCATACAAGAACCGGGGTACAGGCCAGATGTGCGGGAGAGTGAGAGGATTCACCAGAGACAGCAGGGAACAGAACAGGCAGAATGACTGAAATTCACTGCTGAGGGGAGCAGCGGGTGAGACAGGAGAGGTCTGCTGCACCATGTGGGATTCTCGCCGGCTGGCCGGGATCAAACCCGTGGTGCGGAGGCTGCGGACAGCTTCACAGTGCTGTGCTCAACTACCTGTGCCACCAGGGAGGCCTTCCATTTTTTTCTTGGTGTTGTCATGTCTTAACACTCCATTCTCTGTCTCTCTGGCTTGCTGTGCTTGAGCCTACTGCCCAACTGTCCTGGGACGTCTCTTCGCAATTTTGGAATTCCCGCTGCAATTCTCTGTGGTTTGATTCACTACTTATTGGACTCCTGTTTCTTCCTCTTTCTGGGTCTATTTATTTATTTTGGCCAAGCACATCCATCACCAATTGGTTAAAAAGTCATGCAGAAATCTAGACTACAAACTTTTTTTTTAAAGATTGATTTATTTATGCATACAAGAGCTGGGAACAGGCCGGAGGTGTGGGGGGTGAGAGGATTCACCAGAGACAGAATGGGGACCAGAACAGGCAGATTGACTAAGATAGCCTGCTGAGGGGAGTAGCAGGCAAGTCAGGAGAAGTCCACTGCACCATGTGGGTAGCTCCCTGGCCGGCAGGGGATTGATCTCGTGCTGCAGCGGCTGTGGATAGCTTCATAGGTTGCGTCCCAACCCCCTGTGC